CCACACACACCCCCACACACATGCACACACACACACACACACACACACACACACACACTGCATGTGCAGGGTTATTATCATGAACTAAAACAAAAAAATGTAATAAATAAAAATAAATAAATAAATAAGATTAACTGAAATAAAATATAAAAACCATTGTAATACTTTACAATAAGGGCCCAATAGTTACCATTTGTCAATGCAATAACTAACATAAACTAACAATGATCAATACTGTATATTTGTTACAGTATTTCTTATATTAATCTTTGTTATATTAATAAAAAAAAACACAACTGTTCATTGTTAATTCATTGTTAGCTCTGGTCCATTAAACAATATTAACAGATGCAACGTTTAGTTTTAATAATCTTTTAGTAAGTTTTGAAATTAAGATGATCTAAGATTAATTACTGCTTAAGAAGTATTTTTCATTGTTAATTCATGTTAACTATTGTTAACAAATTATTGCGAAATGTTAACAAAAACACAAATGTTTATATTTCCCTTCTCATTTTAATTCAGTGCAAGCAAAATTAAAACAAAAACATGAAAAATAATTAAAATCAAATAATCTTGAACTAAAAACAACAATTAAAAACAAAAAACAAAAAACAAAAAAATCATTTTTTAAAAGTGAACTAAAATGAAAATAAAAACTGCACAAATAAAATAAAATAAAAAATACTATAATAGTAAAGTATATCAATGATACTAAAATAACACTGGCACTGACAACAGCTTTTTTATGTGTGATGCATTATTTTGATTGGATTTTGACTGGGTAGAGATTTCCATCATACCATTTTCACATGATCTGCCGGAATGAAATTCACATTTATTGTAGTAAAAACTGATTTTTATTATTAATTTTGCTAATTAATTATTCACATTATTTATTAACTAAAGTCATTCCAACATTCATTGTCTCATATAATATTTAGTTTGACATTTTGAGGCTGGTGATCAATATTTTGTTGGTTTATTTATTTATCTAATCTAATTTATTTACTTGCTGTACTTTTTTAAAAACAGACAGCACACTGGTTTAAAGCAAAAATCTTTTAAAAAAGACCAATCGATGTTTTTGTGTACCTTTTATCAATACACTAAACTCAAAACAGAATGCTAATTTACTTGACCTTTAATCTTTGCAAATTGCACTGCATTGCATTAAAGCCTAAAGCTGCCATGTTCCCATCACAGAAATGTAACCAATTTAAATCCTGTTCAAAACGATTGTATCACGAAACAGTTCTTTCAATACAATTATAGAAAAAATTGTAAACAGCAATTTATTTGATGTTAAACTAATACAAATTATATACTAATTCATGCAAATAAGCAACAAATCTATACATAACAGATCAAAATGGTACTCTTTTCAAACACAGCAAACAAAGTATCTGTATAAGGCATGGAGACATCAACCACTAATCACAGAATACATGACTTGAAATATAAGAATAAGTGATTAACTGTGAAAAATATTTTCAGATCTGCACTCACATCAGTAGCACTACATTTGTATATGAAGTTTCTGTTTAACACTGTAGCAGCATAATAGGCTTAAGACTCCTCTGACTAATGCTAACAGAAGCATCCTTCTGTCACCACCTCAGAGCTACATAATAATGTGCGATAGTGTGGAGCTTTTTGTTCTCTGAGCATTTACAAACCATTTGAGCCAGGAGAGCTTCTGCTTTAAACTGTCTCACATCCTGCTTATTAAACTGAGAGAGCCAGAAGAGCTTAAAGCTGAGCTATTAGGTAATCACATCATCTGCAAACATGTTTATATTAGGTTTTAAGAGAGGATGTTGAAGAAAATGGTCTGAGAATTGGCCCATATGTTACTTACCGTATCTGAAACTTAGAAGCATGCTTTTTTTTTTTTTGAGAAATTCCAATCATGCAACATGAAATGCAATATGTAAATGACTTAAAAAAGAGACCTATGGGTATTTTTGTGTACAGTACCTTCTATCAATGCACTAAACTCAAAACAGAATGCTAATTTATTTGACATTTAAAATTAGCAAACTGCACTGCAATGCATTCAAATTTAGGTCTACCTATCATAGTCTAAAGTGGTCATGCTCATTTTACAGAGATGCAACCAATTCAAATAAAATCTTAAACAATTCAACTATCCCATGAAATAGTCCTTCTGATACAATAAAAAAAAAACAAAAAAAAACACTAACATAAATTCATTTGCTGTTAAATTATATTCTAATTAATACAAATACCCAGTTTTAAACATAACAGATCCAAAACACACAACTGGTGCTATGTTTTCAAAAACAACAATCAAAATGTCTATCAAAATCATCAAGGCATTAACCACTAAATGAGGATGTCACAGAAAATGGCCTGTGAATTGACCCATGTAATATTAATTGTAACAGCTATGGACTTATTATTTTTTTTCACACAATAAGTCTGAACTACAACTGCATATATTTTAGGCCTTCCACTGCAGATTTCAAGCCAGCACATTCAGAGGGCCTGGATCCAAACCATAACATTTGTCATTTCTAGCTTTGTAGCATTTGAGATAAAACAATTCCCTCTTTTGTCACACAAAAATTGCCCAGAGGTCATCTGTTTTTCGAGCTCATGCACTGAATGTATTACACAAATATCCTCCAGTTTAGTAAAGACCTGAGAGAAATTAGAAATAATTTACTTTATAAGTTCTGTATTTAATTGCACCAAGGTTCACACTGATATATTTTGGAGGACTGAAAGATGAGGGGATGGAGGACACTAATAGGACTGCTTTTCTCAAATTAATTGGGTTATTAAAATTCCTGGGAATCTTGACGAAAGAAAGGAAGGAAGGAAGGAAGGAAGGAAGGAAGGAAGAACGAAAGAAAGAAAAAGAAAGAAAAAAGCCTTTACACCAAAGCATTTATACAAAGCATTATATAATTCAATCGAATTGCATTGTCTTGAAATGGTAATTAGTCGGGATAGTTGTTTTTCTTTGTTAAAAATTAATTAAAATTAATATACAAAGGAGTGGACTCCTTATGAAAGTGCCAAATCTTGTGGGCAACAAAACTAGCTGCAGGCTCCAAAAATAATGAGTAGATGTGCAAACAGACAAAATTTGCACATCTCATGGGATTTACTTAGACAGAAAGCTATTTTCACACCTGAGATAGATGTAATGTGACTGGCAATTTTTGTATTTGTGCTGCAAAAAGCCACGGTAAACATTTATTAACTGGGTCATTCTATAAAACGGGTGTCTTTTCCAGTTTTACAAGGGAATTTAAAAGTAAATATTTATATGATTTTAAACATTTTATCAAGCAAACAATGTGTTTGAGAGTTAATTTATTAGGTTGTGACATTTATAGCCAAATTAATTCATTTCAATATATATATATACGGTGATATAATTATGCCTTCATAAAGGTAACAAGGTTGACTATTTTAGTTTAATCTGACATTATAAGCCTTGTGTTTAAGGTCATGAAACTACAAAGTGCTTCTTAAGAAAATATATGTTGGTATTTCTAAAAAATATCCACATTTCAATTTTCAGTAATTTGTTAAAAAAAATAATGATAACGGTTGAATTTTTTCAACATTTGTAAAATGTAATGCTCATATTTCTTTAAAAAAAATCCACATTTAAATTTTCAGTAGTTTGTTATACAAAATAATGGTAACAGGGTGGAATTTTTCATATTTGTAAAATGTAATGCTCATATTTCTTTTAAAAAAATCCACATTTAAATTTTCAGTAGTTTGTTAAAAAAAAATAACGGTAACAGGGTAGAATTTTTAACATTTGTAAAAATGTAATGCTCATATCTCTATATCTATAAAAATAAATGTTTAATTTTTTCATTAGTTTGTTAAACAAAACAATGGTAACATGGTTGAATTTTTTTAAATTTGACCTTACTGAAAAAAAAAAGTTAAAAAGAGGAGACAGTAGCTGTTTACTTCTTTAAAGGAAGATGCTGTAAACTTTTTTGTTCCTTTAAAGGAAACATATTATTGTAACAGGTTTAATGCAAAATCAAATGCTACCTTTTATTTGGTTTTCATGAAATATGATTATTTGCCAATACAGCAAAAACAGGTCAAAAGGCATCCACATAAAAAAGAAGAAAAATATCTGTTAAAATACAGTAAAGTATAGTAAAAGTTTACATGAGTTATTCAAAGTTATTAACAAGGCAGCTGCTTTGTAGAATGACAAAAAATGTTCAATGAGAAACAAGACTTTTCTGAAGTAAAGGCCAATTCTTTTGAGTTTTGAATGCAGATAGCAGCAGATGTACATAGACTGAAGTGGATATTGTAAGTGGTTTTTGACAGACAATGCAATAAATGTTGTATGCACAAGAGAGCTGGATTTTTAAAAGGGCAGCATAATTTGAGTGAGAGAAGCATTTTTGTAACAGACGTTGCTTGGATAGTGTTGGGCTTTGGGGAGGGTGCTGGAGAGACGCAGCGATGCACCTGAACGGGTCAAGGCTGCTTTCAACACACTGGCTTTCTGGTATGCAGTACATCAGGGTGGACAGTTGTCAAAATGATTCACAGGTGCAAACTGTCTTTATGGATACTCATTATTCAACTCTTTACTTTGTACACTCTCTATGATCAATGAGGCCCTTATGGCATATATAATGTGAGAATTGATATCTTGTGTCAGCATACACAAAACAGGGGGGGGGGTTATTAATAAAGAGGTTAATGTTTTCCATTAAAACCTGGATAGTGGCCTTCAAAGCCCCCCAAAAGTCATTCTTCCATCTGTTGACACAACATAAACAGGTTCCACTGAGGAACACACCCATGTGGTTTCAGAGCATTTATAATTGCAGCCGCAATTTTGCAAACCCCTGCAATTTGCATGTATCAAGTAGCTTGCATTAAAAAGCACCGTTTTTTTGCACTTACATTCTGATGTTGCTGTCAAAAAAGCAACGGTTGCGCAGAAGCCCCGCCCACAGCTGCACACCAACAATCCCGAAGATGAAAAACACGAAGAAACAAAGCAGCAAGACATTTCCCAGCATCGGTAAAGTATCCAACAGCAACGTCACCAGGATTCGCATACCTACGAGACAGAGATACATGATGTGACGAATGTGCATTTAAAAAACACGTGCAATGAAGCGTCAAAGCCATCGAGGATCACTAGACATGTTTACAGACGAGACTGTGGTGTTACATTTAACTTTGATACCTCTGATCTGACATTCACACACTTCATGAACACATTCTCTCAGTGTCTGATATGTATTCAGTAATTGAGCCAAGAAGTGAACACACACACACACAAACAGAAACAGGGCTTTGGCTAGCGCTCGATGGTTTGAGAATAATCGAATTGGAAACTTAACAGCCATGGGCTCTCACTCCTCACTGAGTCCAAAATCTATTACTGCTTTGCTGAATACACACACACACACACACACACACACACAAACTTATTTGGTATGTGTTGACAAAAAGAGTGAGCTATAAATGGTAAAAGTATCCGTGCATGTCAAGAATTTACTGTCTCAGTCTACATTAAACAAAACAGACACTCACTTTCACTGCTGGACTCAATCCGTGACTGTAACATACACCAGCACCTCTCTGAGGACTAACAGCATGTGTGTGTGAGTGTTTGTGTATTTTTTGTGGTCCATCAACTATATGATGTTGGATTGTGGGCACTTAACTGCAACAATCAGCGTCAGTGACCATGTTAATACATCACGGGAGTCTTGTCTAGTCTGTGCGTGTGTGAATCTATAAATACAGCAGGCATGTCTTTTTTTTTTCAGACCAACTCCAGATCATTTGCTTCAAATCAATAGCTGGGTTGTAAAACAGTGACACTAAGAGAGAAACGAAAAAAGATATACAGATGGAAACAAAGAAAGGGAAAACAGTACTCACTGGGAACTCTGTTGATGGCTCGTAATGGTCTGAGAACCCGTACGGTTCTGATGGCTGAGAAACTAACGTTATGACCGTCTAAAGAATACTCCAACATCCTAAAACATAAACAAAAGAAATTCACTTTAACAAACTTGAAACACAATAAGGCAATATATAGAATAATAACGTAGAATAATAACATAATATATATTTGTTATAATGACATTCAATACATAATAACATAATATAATATAATTTTTCAACCATTTGATGGCATTCAATGTACACAATTTATATTATTAAAAATCATATTCATAAAAAATGAACAGGCAGACCATTAATATTCTGATATTTTAATTAAGATGTGAAATCAATTTAATTGATATGTAAGACTATACACATTTAATTTATTCCTTGATGCAAAGTTGAATTTTCAGCATTATTACTCCAGCCCTTAGTGTCATATGATACTTCAGAAATCATTCTAATATGCCGATTTGCTGCTCAAGAAACATTTCTTCTTATTATTAAATTTTTAAAACAGTTGTGCAATTTAATATTTTTGTAAACTGTGATACTTTTTTTCAGGATGTTTTGATGAATCGAAAGTTCAAAAGCATAAAACACTGGACAGTTTAAATTGTTTCACACATGAATTTTCACAATTTAATGTTTCACAATCAAACATCATGTTTTCTACACAGAGACTGCATTAAAATATATATTTCTTACTGCTCTTGAACTCACAAGCTGTGCGACAAGATCCCTAAATGACACAACACAGCAGCATGAGAATATTTAAAGTCACTAAATTGATTTAGAATAATTATATGTTCTCCCCACTGAAAAGGGAAAAGTGGATGTCTATGCTATTTGTGACCCTGGACCACAAAACCAGTCATAAGTGTAAATTTTTCAAAATTGAGATTTGTTTTGGCTATTGCTACAAATATACCCCAGCGACTTAAGACTGGTTTTGTGGTCCAGGGTCACATTTATAATAGTTAGTGTTGATTTAGTGCTGTTTTAGCCATACTTTTCACCTGACTGATAGGAAGACTAAGGAAAGCTATTTGGTTAAGAAGTTTAGAAGCCTAATGGAAACACCAGTACACCAGAAATGTGTTACCTTTGTCCGAATTAATAACTCACACACGAGCACATTACCGTTTTAATGAGTTTTAATGAGTGATCATCAGGCACTTGAACTGATTTTTTGGACAGAGAGGAAAACTACAAATCACTGTGTCAGTGACAGCGCAAATGACAAGAGAGACACGATACAGACAGACACAGAGACACTTGCCTGGTGGTAATTGTCACACTCACATGCACACACACACACACACACACACACACACACACACACACAAACTGTAATAGTTAAGAGTTTAATGACTCATCAAATTCTAGGAATCGCACACTAATAGTTGACTATTTGTCAACTATTTGTCACTCACCCAGCCATGACGATAAAGAGGTCAAGGCGGTTCCAGGTGTCGCCAAGGTAACATTTCGGACCAAATATGCCCAAGGCCAACATTTTAACCACCATCTCCACAGCAAAGAATGCAAAGATAAAATCATCAAAGGCCTGTGGAGAGAAGAACCACACATCGCTCATGAATACATTACAATAAGAAAAGTGAAACAGCTGTCATTTCATTTAAAGTGCATTTTAATACTGGTCTAATTAAAAAAGTTTCCTCTTTAAACCTGATTTGTTCAATTAGTCTAAAAGCAAAAAACATTTCCTGTAGAAAAAATGAAAGAAACAATTTAAATAGAATTGTTTAAATTCTATTGTTTAAATTAACTACCCAGGTCTGGGTAGTAACTGATTACATGTAGTCTGGATCACATAATCAGATTCCAAATATTAAGTAATGTTAAGGTTAATGGTCACATTGACATGTGGGTAAACAAGTCAAATATTTCAATTTTTGGTGTTCAAGTCTTTAAATTTTTGTTTATTTTACATTTTATGATTTAATTAATTATTCGATTTTTATCGAATTTAAACCCACTGCAGTTCTTACATTAAGCATAGTTTGGGAAACCCTGGAATAATGTAATATTTAATGCATTTTATGATGTTAATATAAAAAATTGAATATATTTTGTTTCTCTTACTTTTTTATATCAATATGCTTAATGGTAAATTAGATGAAAAATAATCTAAAAGTAATCTAAAATGCAGTCAGACTACATTAACTAAAACGAGTAACCTAAATTATGTTACTAACTACAGTTAGTAATCAGTAATCAGTAATAGATGACAATTTGTAAGTAATCTATCCAGCACTGCCAGCAAGCTTTAAGGACTACTTTTTTTTTACACAATAGAAAATATGATACATATTTTAAAAAGACTTCACAATAAACATTAAGCTATTTCAAAGTTGTCTTTATTTGTATTAAGTATAATTTGTATACACTAAATTAAACATTAACTCACAAATGTTTGCTGAATGGCAGAGGCAGGCTAAACACATAATAAATACGTTATTATGATAAAAATGTGACTTGTTCATGTTTCATTTTATTTATTTATTATTATTATTATTTAGCTTTCGCCAGAGCACCATTTGAGTCTTCTCCTCCCATTTCTACCAATGATGCTTGACTCAACTTCCCACGTCTACTACCTGCGCAGATATCAACAGCGCAACTGGGTTGTAGGTTGACAGGTTGAGGTCACAAATGGTTGAAATTTGTATGATGTGTCTATTGTTTGAGTAGGATGCATTTCATACAAGATCTGGCAACTGGACAACCTTAGAATAATATATTGACGTGATTGTTCATACAATGAGGTTTGGGCCATACAAATTATGGGAGTTTCCCAGGAGAAAAATAACAAAATGAGAGGGCGGTGGGATATGAGTGTGAAATAATCAAAGACTCCTGGGAAAAACGGGAGTGTTGACAGATATGCTTTAATGTTCTACTATGTTAGCATTTAGAACAGTAAATGCATGAAAATGCTTCATGTCACATAAAGCGGCCAAAAAAATATTTGGAGACTTCTGGACACCTAAAATTGTCTTAATTGTACAACAAAATATCACTGCAAGTGGCATATGCAAATAAATGATCTAAACTTCACTTTTCTAAACCATTTTTTTTATAATTTGCTTTCGACTAACTTTACCCAGGGTGATTATTAGCTGGTGTTTGAAGTCGGTTTCCCTCAAGTTCACACAGCTGTTCTAACAGAGTACCCACAGGTTTCGTCACCTAATTGATCTCATTTAAAGCAGCACTTGTGTACAAAATTCACAGACTTCAACAATAAATTTCAAGACAATCTCTGTCGGACTTCAAATTGCCTGTTGTGAGCAATGTTCCCGTCATTATGCAGATCCACAGGTTATTTGCAAGTTGTTTTGGAGAGATTACAGATACATATTTTTCAGAGTCTGTCGCTGATGCTTCACGGTGTTGCTTGTGGGTTTTGGCATTTGGCATTTGAGAAGCACATAAACGCTTTCACACTGCTCTGTATTGTTTTTCTTGATAGGATTTTGAAAGATTTGTACAATAAATAGTTACAGTTATTTTACTCTACATCATAAAAATGTTATGACTTGTTTCTCTTTAATAAAGCTTGCAGATGGATCCACACGTCTCACGTCTCGTCAGCCCCGTTACAATAAAATACATCTGTAATACCCCCTTGTGATTTTTTTGAAGCTTTTCTTGAAAAAGTCGTAAACTGACAAGTGGCTAAATGGGACAGAGGTTGGCAGGGACATTAAACATCACGCGAACAGGTAAACTCATCTACTCACTAGTAGGGCTGTCAATACATTCGAATTTTGTACTTAAATATGATCAAAATTCGAATTACATTCGAACAACTATAAACAAAACAGCATCATGTATGTATGCATAGTTTAATACAAAGGGCGGAAAGCCAATCACACAGAGTACATTTTTCATTTAAAAACATGAGATGCAATGGGATGGGGAAAAAACCCCCACCATTAAGTCTCGATATATATATTTTTTTCAAAGTTAAACTTGCATTAATTTTACATGGCTTTCTAAACATGTGGCTCTCTTGTGCGAGACACGAGTGCAATGGTGATAGATGTCCCTCTAGAAAATGCGCGAAATAATATGTTCTGTGTGAACGGCTTGGTTTCAGTTTTGATGTAAACAAGATCTTCTCCGCATTGATGTTCTCTTTTTCCGCAATATTTTTAATGAACAACGCAGCAGCGCCGCATATAGTGGCTTCAACTGGATATGCTAACAAAAAGACGACACTTACATCGTCATCGCATCTCGTGTGCCACTGATAAGGCTGCCTCCTTAACGCACCCCTAAAATTCGAATGCAACGTTTTTGCATTCGAATGTGGATTTTTATTTTAAATTCGACGAATATCCGAAATTCGAATTTTTTTTGACAGCCCTACTCACTATTCTGCTTTTAGAGACTCATTGTGTTTATAATCATGCTCTTGCAAACTATTCCAAAATGTTTTAAATAAAGACTGAACGTGTTGTTGGTGAAGTCATGTGACTGTGTGTAGTTCATTTATAGTCTACATTTAACTTTTTACTTCTGACGATTGTATTTAGCCTTCAAAATTCATAAACGTTGTGTTCATTTGTGAAGATTATCAAGAACAAAATGCAAAGAATCAGAAACGTTTGTTGTTCACAAAGCTAATTTTAGCAAAAATCTAAAAGCCAATGGAAAAATCCTATTGGGTTTGTGTCAAGCGAACCAGGATGATATGGAAGCTTGTTTCTGCCACATGATTAAAAAAAGCAAAAAAAACAAACAAAAAGAAAAATGTTTTAGACTTTTTTCAGAATTGAGAGATAAAAAGTCATAATTACCTTTTTATCCTGTGGCAGAAACAAGCTCACATAGAGTAATGCTAACTTCTGGGTTGGCCTACAAAAATATGCCATCACTGCACTTGCTCGATATGTGCATTTCTGCAAATACCACTTAGTTTGATATTTTGTTTTATGTAATCCAGTGGAACATTTTAAATGTGGCTTAAATGTCTAACTCTTCAGGCTGCTGTTTGCATTTATTATATGCTTGTGTCTTTGAATGCTTTTTTCCCCCAACCAGTCAATCAAAACAACAGGCAGAATCAAGGCCTCACAGAGATGAAAGTCTTTAGGTAATCAATCCACGTGTGTCTGTGTTATGTAAGTGTGTGTTACCTGCAGGATGCTGCACCTGTCAGAGTGGCACTCCAGGTCTTGGCAGGGCTGGAACATGCCGAGCGTGACGCAGTTGAGCAGAATCACCAGCATGCTGACTCGCTCAAACCACGTAGAGCTCCAGTTAAGGTCAATACAGCTCACAAGGAAATCTTTCACATTTCACTTATTTGTTTTCAGAGTCAGAACTAGAGTCAAGGGATTTTATTTGTCTGTTTCTGCAAACTATGAAAAAACTGACTACACTAATTGTAAAATCTTTCTTAAGTAATGAAAATAATTGACTATTACATTTTTTGTATAGTGCCAACAACGAAGAAACAGAAAAGTGGCTTTAAACAAAACCTGTTTATCTCTGTCTATCCTGTTTATATAAGTACTGTAAAATGTTTTCATTTTAATTTTTCATTTACTCTTGAGTAAAATGGAGTGTCTTAATACAGTTTAGCTGTTCAAAGCAAAACATAAACATACACTACTGTTCAAAAGTTTGGGGTCAGTAATTTTATTTTATTTTATTTTACAATGAAGCGTCTTATGCTCTCCAAGGCTGCATTTATTTGCTGAAAAATACAGCAAAGATTATATTAAAAATTAAACATGTATTTTAATATATTTAAAAATTCAGCAGCCTTTACTTCAGTGTCACATGATCCTTCAGAAATCATTCTAAAATGTCTTAATTTTTTTTTTTTCATGCTTGCATAATTTGCATCATAACACTTATGATCCTGTACTGTATCCTGTTTGGAGAAATGCTGCAATATTTTTCCATCACCAACTGATAGAACAGAACAGAAGCTTTTTAACATAAAGCTAACAAAAAAGTGAAATAGATGGAACTGAGCATGAATAATGTATTTGTAGATTAATAATTGATTTTGTTCTCAAGAAGGTTGAAATAATAGAATTTGAATTGCATAAAAACCCATCATAATGCCTGCTTTAATAAAACATCTTTTTTAATATACACAATTCCTGTTTGCGACCGTAAACCATACAACATAATAAAATGCAATAAAGCCATTTTGTTTTCATATGGGTCTAATTAAAACCTGCAATTACATTTTCACATTACAGTGCACTGATCTACACACATACCTGCCGCTGTAAAGGCAAACTCAGCCCCGCAGGCCCCGTGATCAGACCAACCGCTTTACCTCATTAATCATAAACCTGCCACAGAAACACACTGTTCACACCATCTCAATCACCACCGTAAATCCTGCAATTATCCTCATTTACATCAGGATACACCACACCTCACTTACAACCCAATTAGGATTTAAAAAGCTTCTATAAACCCTAAAGACTATATCCATCTGAGTCTCAGAGCAGCTTTAACAGACGAGAGGGACGTGTTCAGGCCCCTGCTGTTTCCTCAGGTCTCTGTCTAACCAAAACCCTTCTGGAATTCCAGCAGACTTCCCTCTCGCTAGAACTGGGACAGCGTTCCGCTCATCAAACATTTATCCAGAGCCCACACTAATGCATACAGACAACTCCAGCTCTCGTCTCCATCCTCAAGATTGCTGTGGTCACATTCATGCCACTTCGGCTGAGGATAATGATGATGGCGATAGAGAACAGAAATGGGATGAATAAGGTGATGGAAATCTTTACAAATGCAAAAGCAGTACTGCCATCACTTCATATGCACACGCACAAACCAGTGTTGGCGTGTAAACTTCATGATGTTCTTTCTTCTACAGAACACAAAAGAAAATATTTTGAAACATGGCTCTCTTTTTTTTGGCCATACTATGAAAGTAAGTGGGGTCCAATAGAGTTCTGAAACAGGTTTTCATTATGTAGTTTAAAAGATTTATTTTATGTTCTGCAGAAGACCACATTTTCATTGTTGGGTGAACTATCCTTACTTTAATTTATGTGTATCTTGTAGCACAGCAAACTACCGTTTCAAATATCTTTCCCCAATACTGCAGTGTTGTTTTCCCTTTCTCTACTTGAAATAAAGCTGAAATAAACGATGAATATATAAAATATAAATTTGAACATAAATATAAAATTTAAAAATCAGAAATGTCAGATGAAAATGTAAAGTGTTGCACTGGCAAATAATTGAAACTAATTAAGTAAAGCTGAAGTACTAAAAATACTAAAACTGAAATGAAAAATAAAAGCTAGATAGAAATATTTATAAAATAAATAAAAATGATAAAAGCACATAGCAAAATTACAAAAACTTCAACTGAAATTTTTTTTTTTAATTACTCAAACTGAAAATATTAATAAATACTATAAAAATAATACGTAAGACAAGACTTGAAAGTTTTTTCAGGCAATGGTCAATTCTAGTGGTGTAACGATTCACTCATGGTGCAGTACGATTCACAATAATCAGATTTTATCACTATTTATTATTTTTTTTACAAAATGAGATATAAGACAAAAATAAAAAGGTGTCCTATTATTCCTCAGACAAAATGCTGCACATTTCTTTGTAAAATTGAAATATGTTAAATAACATAAAAAACATAAAACATACATATCATTACACTAGTGGTGTAACGATTCACTCATGGTGCAGTACGATTCACAATAATCAGATTTTATCACTATTTATTATTTTTTTTACAAAATGAGATATAAGACAAAAATAAAAAGGTGTCCTATTATTCCTCAGACAAAATGCTGCACATTTCTTTGTAAAATTGAAATATGTTAAATAACAAAACTAAACAGAATTTTTCATATTCTGAAGATTTTGTTCGTATAACAGTCACCTGATTTATTTAACTTTTTATTCGTAAAAATATGGTGAGCTTTTTTCCAACTGTTGACAATATTTTCTGATTTATAGATAGATAAACAGATACTGCATAAAAAAATGTTTGAACTGGACTTTTTTTTGTTCGCAAAATGTATGCAAAATGGTGCACATTTAATTAGATAATGCCTCATTTGCATATTTCAGAAAACTCGTAATATTGTCTTAATGTACTGTAACTAATCAACTGGGGAAGTATGGCAACATCTATTATTTAAAGGGGTCATATGATGCTGCTAAAAAGAACATTATTTTGTGTATTTGGTGTAATGAAATGTGTTTATGCGGTTTAAAACAACTTAACCACTGATTTGTAGTCGTGTCCTCTTTTGGAAGACCAAACAAAGTAGTTTCGCTTTCACAACGAAAAACACAGTGGCCTAGCGTGAGGGGAAGCCCCGGCTTCGCGTGCGCTGAGGCCGGGATAGAGTGAGCTGAGGCCGGAATAGAGTAAGCTGAGGCCGGGCTAGCGTGAGGGGAAGCCCCGGCTTAGCGTGCGCTGAGGCCGGGATAGAGTGAGATGAGGCCGGAATAGAGTAAGCTGAGGCCGGGCTAGCGTGAGGGGAAGCCCCGGCTTAGCGTGCGCTGAGGCCGGGATAGAGTGAGATGAGGCCGGAATAGAGTAAGCTGAGGCCGGGCTAGCGTGAGGGGAAGCCCCGGCTTAGCGTGCGCTGAGGCCGGGATAGAGTGAGATGAGGCCGGGCTAGAGTGAGCTGAGGCTGGGCTAGCGTGAGCGGAAGGGGTCGAGAACGGGGCG